AAAAAAAAAAAAAAAAAAAAAAGCTGGAGGGGCCACTTTAGATAAGCCCTGAGTTGGGGCTGGTTTGTGGGGAACATGTAAGCCAAGATTAAAAAGCAGTGAGGGGCCCACCCTGACGATTGCCGGTCACATCTGTGTGTCTTGTGCAGGAGACGCTGTCGGACATTCGGGAAGGTGCGCCACTGGGGGTCCACCTGCCTTTCGTGGGCTACTCCTACTCCTGCATGGCCCTCAGGTAAGCACTGCCCTGGATGACCTCCAGAGGCCCCGAGGCTGCTGGAGCTTCCTGGGTCCTGCTCCTTGGCAGCCAATAGAGTTGCAGGATCAGTCTTGGAACCTTATTGTTTTGGGACCAAAGACTCCTAAGAGGCCAGAGTTGGAGGACCTTAAAATGTCAGATACATGTACTTCGAAATGTTAGATTGAACTTTAAAACCTCAGAGTTACAGATTGGGCTTTCCAGAATCTTGTAACCATCAACTTTTACGTCTGTAGTACACAGAGTCACAGGACTTCAGAATCTTGGAAAATATGAAGTTGAGACTTTTATAATCTAATTGTAAAAGAATGCAAACTCTTTGAATCACCCACATAATAATAAGGCCATTTAAAAATATTAATTTAGGCCAGGTGCGGTGACTCACACCTGTAATCCCAGCATTTTGGGAGGCCGAGGCGGGTGGATCACCTGAGGTCGGGAGTTCAAGACCAGCCTGACCAACATGGAGAAACCCCGTCTCTACTAAAAAACAAAATTAGCTGGGCGTGGTGGTGCATGCCTGTAATCCCAGCTACTCAGGAGGCTAAGGGCGGGAGGCAGAGATTGTGGTGAGCTGAGATCGTGCCATTGCACTCCAGCCTGGGTAACAAAAGCGAAACTTCATCTCAAAAAAAAAAAAAAAGTATTAATTTACAGGCTGGGCATGGTGGCTCACGCTTGGAATCCCAGTACTTTGGGAGGCTGAGGTGGACGGATTGCTTGAGCCCAGGAGTTCAAGACTAGCCTGGGCAATATAATGAGACCCTGTCTCTACAAAAAATTGAAAAAATTTAGCCAGGCATGGTGGTCTGTGCCTGCAGTCCCAGCTATTCAGGAGCTGCAGTAGGACGATCACTTGAGCCTAGAGTTTGAGGCTTCAGTGAGCCATGATAGATTCCAACCTGGGCAACAGAGTGAGACCTGGTCTCAAAAAAAAGTATTAATTACACAAATAATGCATTGCTTATCACAAGTAAATTAGAAAATACAGATAAGGAAAAGGAAGTCGGTATCTCGTGAGCTCACCAGACGGCAGTGGTCCCTGGCTCACACGTGCACAGACACGTTTAAATACTAGAGAATAGGTGTTTTGTTGTGTGTTTTTTTTTCCCCTTCTTCATGCTACTTTGTCTAAGAGAACAGTTGGTTTTCTAATCAGCTTTTATTACTGGACAACATTACAAATACTGTACCTTACCGTTAATAAACTCTAACTCGATTCTGAACTGCTGTGGGGCCTGAACAGTGGGTCAGGATTGAACCCATCCTCTATTGGAGCCCAGATGCATGCCCAGGATAGCTGGGTCCTGAGCCATGTTCCCACAGGAGGGACTGCTAGGTTGGTGGGGACAGCCACTTCGTACCCTAGGGAGGAGCTGTCCCCTTCCCACAGCTGAGTGGGGTGTGCTGATCTCAAGTCGCCATCGTGGGGTCTCATGTCCAGTCTTAGGACCACATCTGTGGAGGTGGCCAGAGCCAAGCAGTCTCCTTCATCAGGTCGGCCTCCCTGTCCTGTGGCCCTAAGAAGAGGGTTCTGCAGAGATCACATGTCAAGGGAGGAGACGAGCTGACCCTGGAACATGGGGGTCTGGACCCCGAGTCCCTGCAGAAGGTTTACAAAGAGCAGCTCCCAGGGGCCCAAGGCCAGGGGAGGGGCAGGGCTTTTCCTAAGCAGAGGAGGGGCTACTGGCCCACCTGAGACTGTTCTCTTCACGCTGTCGCTCCCCTTCCTCAAATCAGGAGGTCTTTGAAGCAGCTGCCCCTTACCTGCAGGCCAGGAGCTCTGGTTCTCCACCAGAGAATCAGCGTTCCGTCTCCCTCCCCACCCCCCTCTCCTCAGGGACAGTGAGGTCCCAGGCCCCACACCCATGGAACTGGAGGCCGAGCAGCTGCTTGAGCCACACGTGCAAGTGCCTAGCCTGGAGTCCTCAGTGTCCCCACGGGATGAAACAGTAAGTTGTGGAGGGGAGGGGGTCCGTCAGGGGCAAGCAGGAGAGAAAAGGTGAGGGCTTCCCGGGTGGCGTGTGCTGTAGAGCCCTCTGGGGACTTCCTGAACAGAAGCAGACAGAAACCACGGACAGACAGGTTGCTTCAGACATGACACGGTCTCTGTAGTTACAGTGGGGCATTAAGTAAGGCTGTGTGCGTTGGTGGGGATCTGAGGAGTTGAACTTTGAGCTGAACGCTCCTGAAGGAGAAGCCAGCCATGGAAAGAAAGGTGCCAGGTGGTCAGGCGAGAGCCTCAAGGGCAAAGGCCTTGAGCAGGTGGGAATCCTGATATCCTGATTTGTTCCTGTTTGGCTGAACCGTTCCTGAGAATGCCGGAGAGGCCACCAGGCAACAAAACCCAGCAAGGCCTTTTGTCGTGAGGGCATTAGGGAGCTGGAGGGATTTTGAGCAGCAGAGGGACATAGGTTGTGTTCGTGTTTGAGGACCAGCTCTCTGGTCCCTGTGTGGATTTCGAGGACCAGACTCAGAGAAGGGGCTGAGGGAGGTAGGGAAGGGAGGGGGCTTGGATCATTGCAGGAGCTGTGGGGATTCCAGAAATTTTGAGGGGACGGAGAAGTAGGGGACAAGCAAGGATCCCTAGCCTGGAACCAGTGCCCAAGTTCTGAGTCCTCCAGGAGCCACAGGCAGCCTTAAGCCCGGTCCCCATACACAGGCTGAAGTGGCAGTTCCAGCGGCTATCCCTGCGGCAGAGGCTGAGGCCGAGGTGACGCTGCGGGAGCTCCAGGAGGCCCTGGAGGAGGAGGTGCTCACCCGGCAGAGCCTGAGCCGGGAGATGGAGGCCATCCGCATGGCCAACCAGAACTTTGCCAGGTCGGCGTTGGGGCCGGGGCGCAGGGCCCATGGCAACCCTTGGCAGCCCCTCTCGTCCGACTCGGACTGACTCACCGTCCTTACCTCCCCACAGTCAACTACGCGAGGCAGAGGCTCGGAACCGGGACCTAGAGGCGCACGTACGGCAGTTGCAGGAGCGGATGGAGTTGCTGCAGGCAGAGGGAGCCACAGGCGAGTCCCTCATGTGTCCCCTTCCCCGGAGGGCCGGGAGGAGGTGGGCCGTCTGCTCTGCGGGGCACGTATAGACACCTGGAGGAGGGAAGGGACCCATGCTGGGGCACGCCGCGCCACCGCCCTCCTTCGCCCCTCCACGCGCCCTATGCCTCTTTCTTCTCCTTCCAGCTGTCACGGGGGTCCCCAGTCCCCGGGCCACGGATCCACCTTCCCATGTAAGACCCCTCTCTTTCCCCTGCCTCAGACCTGCTGCCCACTCTACAGATCCCTTCCCTGGCTCCTGGTCTCCCCGTCCAGATACAGGGCTCACCCTACGTCTTTGTGACTTTGGAGGGCAGAAGCCCTTCGTTCAGCCCCAGATCTCCCTCCGTTCAAGGCTCACCAGATTCCCTCCGGGATCTCCCTAGATAACCTCCCCAGCCTCGATTCCCCTCGCTGTCTCTCGCCCCACTGCTGAGGGCTGGGCTGGGCTCCGATCGGGTCACCTGTCCCTTCTCTCTCCAGCTAGATGGCCCCCCGGCCGTGGCTCTGGGCCAGTGCCCGCTGGTGGGGCCAGGCCCCATGCACCGCCGCCACCTGCTGCTCCCTGCCAGGGTACGTCCGGCTGCCCACGCCCCCCTCCGCCGCCGCGCCCCTCGCTCCACCCGCCCTGTGCCACCCGCTTAGCTGCGCATTTGCAGGGCTGGGCCCACGGCGGGAGGGCGGATCCGCGGGCAGCCAATCAACACAGGCCGCTAAGCAGCCAATGACGAGTTCAGACGAGATTAGAGGCGTGCGAGCGGACTAACAGCTGCCGGCTGTTGGGGCGGGGGTGGGGAGCAGGGAGGCGTGCGGGCCCACCTATGGGCGTAGGCGGGACGAGTCCAGGAGCCAATCAGAGGCCCATGCCGGGTGTTAACCTCGCCCTCTCCCCGCAGGTCCCTAGGCCTGGCCTATCGGAGGCGCTTTCCCTGCTCCTGTTCGCCGTTGCTCTGTCTCGTGCCGCCGCCCTGGGCTGCGCTGGGTTGGTGGTCCACGCCGGCGAACTCACCGCAGTCTGGCGCCGCCCGGGAGCCGCTCGCGCTCCCTGAACCCTAGAACTGTCTTCGACTCCGGGGTCCCGTTGAAAGACTGAGCGCCCGGGGCACGGCAAAGAAGCCGCGCCCACCGCCTGCCAGTTCACACCGCTCCGAGCTTGGGTCTCCGCCCAGCTCTAGTCCTGTGATCCGGGCCCGCCCCCTAGCGGCCGGGGAGGGAGGGGCCGGGTTCGCGGCCGGCGAACGGGTCTCGAGGGGGCCTTGTAGCCGGGAATGCTGCTGCTGCTGCTGCTGCTGCTGGTGGGGGATCGCAGACCACTTCTTTCGGCCAGGCTGAGGCCCTGACGTGGATGGGCAAACGGCAGGCCTGCGAAGGCAGCAAGCTGGGTCGTCGGTGTTCCACTTTCCACGCACCCCCACCTACCGTCGGTTCGCAAACTGCAAATCCTCCCTTGTGCATGACGCCCTGCTCTCTGGGGAGCGTCTGGCGCGACCTCTGCCCGCTTACTCGGGAAATTTGCTTTTGCCAAACCCGCTTATTCGGGGATCCCGCGCCCCCCTCCTCACGTGCGCAGCTCTCGGAGCCCGAGCCGGCTCTGACTGCTTCGGCAGTTTGGATATTTATTGACCTCGTTCTCCGACTCGCTGACAGGCTGCAGGACCCCGAACACCCCAATCCACGTTTTGGATGCACTGAGACCCTGATATTCCTCGGTATTTATTGTCTGTCCCCACCTAGGACCCCACCCCCGACCCTCGCGAATAAAAGGCCCTCCATCTGCCCAAAGTTCTGGACTCCGCAGTCCGCGGTTTGCGTAGTGGGCAGGAGGTTGCGCAGCGGGCCAATCCGAAGGCGAGTGGAGGCGGCCGAAGGTCTGGGAGGAGCTAGCGGGATGCGAAGCGGACGAATCAGGGTTGGGGGAGGAAAAGCTACGGGGCGGGGCCTTGGCGTCCGGCCAATAGGAGGGCGAATGGGCCACCCGGAGGCACCGCCCCGGCCCAGCTGTGGCCCAGCTGTGCCACCGAGCGTCGAGAAGAGGGGGGATGGGCTGGCAGCGCGCGGCCATCCTCCTTCCACTGCGCCTGCGCACGCCACGTGCATCCGCTCCGGGGACGCAAACTCGAGAAAAGTTGCTGCAAACTTTCTAGCCCATTCCCCGCCCCTCCTCCCGGCCAGACCCGCCCCCCCTGCGGAGCCGGGAATTCCGAGGGGCGGAGCGCAGGCCGAGATGGGGAATGTGGGGGCCTGCAGAGGACCCTGGAGACGGAGGCGTGCAGAAGCTCAGTCTCGGGGCGGAGGCTTCGCGCCCTTAGCCCTCCTGGACGGCCCGTTACCTTCTGCGTTGTCCCGATGGGGAAACTGAGGCCCTGAGCCAGAAGCACACGCTGGGGGGAGGCAGAAAGCGCGGCCAGAGGCGGAGGGAAAACAAAGGGAGCATCACAGACAGAGGGGAGGGGAACGGACACACACACGGGGACAGAGACCCGGGTCTCGCCTTCCCGGCGTGGGGCGCAGTCGGCCAGGGAGAAGATCGAGAACAGCGGGGAGTGGGGGCGAAAAGGGGGGACAGGCGGGGGAGGG